GGGGGCTCCTTCCCCCCACACATCTCCCCACAGCGCCCTGGGCAGCTCCCCGGGCAGGCTGAGTGCTGAGCCTGGCAGGCAGCACAGTCCCTGCCCCGGCACACAGCCCCTGGGGCACAGCAGGGACCTGCTCTGCAGGACAGCCCTGGGCACCCGGCTGCAGCCCCAGCTGTACAGCCTGCAGCCGTCCTGGGACACGCAGCCCTCAGGGCTGTGCTTTGATGCTGCAGCACGGAAGCCCTCAGCTGGAGCAGACCTGTTTCCATGATAAAGAAACAGAGCTTATGCAGCCTGATCTGCCATGAGATGTCCAAGTCCAAGAGGGAGCACTAAGCTCCCTCCAGTAAAAGCAGCTGCATTACCTGAATCCAGAGACTTACCTTGTCAAGGGCTGTGGGAAATGCTCCTCCAGTGAGCTCACAGTATGCTAGCATACCTCACTGCCTGTAAGCTCTCTTCCTTTTCTCTTCCACCTGCATGTCATGCCCCCAGCCCTGCTGTGCTGTGCAGAAGAGCATCTCCTGGGCACAGTTGTCTCTCTGCAGCACTGCCCTTTGTATGAGCTCCCTGTGTCCCAGGAGCCCAGAGTACCTCAGCAGCAGAGGATGTCATTTCTATGCACCCTACTGATCTCCCCTGAGATGTCCCTGGGTCTCCACAGCCAACAGCTCCTGAAAGACAACAGCGTCATGACTGTACTCTGAAATCTGTGTAATTAACCACCAAAATTCCAGTGAACTAATTCCAGACATACAGTTAGTCCTACCAGTGAGTGCTTGCTGTAACTAAAAGGATGAGGACAGGGAGGGGTGGACTTCCCTGGGCTAGGCAGTGATCCAGCTAAGGCAATGCAGGCATCTCATCCCTAGATGGAAACCCTATGGTTGAAACGAGATTCAGCTTTTCAAGGACCCACAGGAGTTTCAGGGATTCCTCTGGTTCAGTTCAGGTGCACACAAGGAGTTGCCTGCATGTGAGCTCCTGCTCTGAGTCCTTGGTCCTTCAGCGGGGAGTCAGTTGCTCACACACAGACCCTGGGTGATGACCAAGGTGCCTGGGGTGCTGCTGGATGTGTGCTAGTGCTTGTAAAGAGTGTGGGAAATCCTTGAGATAGACACATACTTCCTGAGAGCCAGGGAAGGATTAGCAGTACTTTTGACCATCCTAAAGGAGAACAAACCCCTGCATTTATGGCATCTCAAAGTGTATTTTTCACCCATCTCCATGGAGCAGGCAGAATTTTGCAGCTGACTAAATGGCTGAGCTCCCAGAAGAAGAGCTAGATCTTTCTCTGTTCTCCTTCTGCTGCACATTCTGGAGATCAAGGCACTGCAAAGCTAACACACAGCTTTATCCTTCAACTGACAAAACATCAGTTTTCTGTGTGTTCTCATGTGAATCGCTTCAGAAGCAGCCTGACATCATGCCAATTAGCTTGGGTTTCCAGCACATTCACACGCCGCTGCAAATAGAGCATAGGCCTTCAGGAAAGCCATGCCCTAGGAGTGTGCATGCTGCTTGGACAACTCCAAGCCCCACAATGGGTCTGTGGGCCACCTTCTGAACACAAATACAATAGATGTAGTATACAGCCACACTAAATCTAATGATGCTTCCCCATAAGGTTGTTTCTTTATGTGTTTTTACACTAGTAGAACACCAACACAAGCTGGGCTAGAAATGTTGCAGGCCTGTGTTCTTGTTTGGACCACAGGGACACGGTTAAATGGCTTCCACAACTGGACTGTAGCACAAGAGGCATGCAGAGTCTTGACGATGGATGGGCGAGGAGACACGGAAGTGTGAGAGTGCACTGAGCTCTTCCTGTGAATGGCAGAGGAAGCAGGTCAGAGTGAATGGCTTCTTGATCAGGAAAAGCAGGTGGAAGGTGCCCTCTGCAGACAGATGGGAGCCTCATGTTGTCAGGCCCTTGTTGCCTTTGGGGGCCTTTTCTAATCTAGTATGTGCTGCAGGGACAGCACAGCAGGGCATGCACCATCCAGGAGATCCCCAGAGAGCACAGATGGCAGCTTCTTGACCAAGCCATGGAGGAACTGAAGAGGAGAGGTGCTCTGCTGCATCTCATACTCACCAGCAAGTTCAGCAGATATGGAGGGAAAAATCAAAAGATTCTAACTATTCATGCCAGACAGACTCTCTTGACACGATCATGAGACATCTGGCTTGTACACCTGGCATGGATGTGAGCAGATGCTATAAAGACCATTGGCAAACCTCGCCAAAACTGAGGTGGCTTGACAGAGGTGAGTGGCAAGGAACCATGGGTTTGTGTGCGACAAAGGAGCAGGTGGCGGATTGCCAAATGATGGAGGAGTCCATCACTGACGCATGGAACCCGCTTTATGCTCCCCCAACCAGGAGAAGATGAGGGAGGTGGCCTGCACAGTTGAGCTGAGCGCCAACGTGGAGCAGCATCACGCAGAAATGGTTCCACAGCAGCTGGGGGCAGGGCACGGAGGGCGGCACATTGCTGAGCAGCTGCTGGCAGAGTGCTGTGTAGGGATGGAGGCCCTGATGGCTCCTTTCTTGTCAGGGAGAGTGAGACATTTGTTAGGGACTGTGTTAGGGACACTTCTGGCACCGTGAGAAGTTGCGGCAGTGTCGCATACACTGGCGGCAGCACGCAAACAGCCACAAGCTCTGTGTGACTGACACCCAAGTATTTGACAGCCTGCACGACCTCGTCACTACTGCTGGGAGATGCCGCTGAGGTATAACAGACTTGAGATAAGGCTGACAGAGCCGTGCCTCGGTCCAGCACTCAGCAACACAGACTGGGTGTGTGGGATGGCACAGGAGGGACGAGCCCAGCTCCAGCACCCTCTCCTTCAGGGCAGCATGGAAGACCCAGCACTGCCACTTGCAGCATGAGGGTCATGTTTAACAAAGCACTTGACCAAGTGCATATTGTTCAAGTGCATGGCACACAATAAAAGTTTTTGTTCTGCAGTAACAACGGAGTCTGTGTTTAATTGCCACAGATAAACCTTGATCTTACTTGCCCTCCATAACCTGTGTCTTTCCCAAACCTTTTCATCTCCCAAACTTCACAAAAAAACAAAAACAAACAAACAAAAAAACCTACTTAACATAGTTCCGCCTCCCCCCTCCAAGATTTCCAGGGCTGACAGTGAGATCTTGGGTTTCCTAGATCTCTGCAAATAAAGGCTTATTCTCACTTCCAGTGTTCCGTCCTTTCCCGTTCACAAGTAACACTTTGCCTTTGACAGGGGTAGTGCAGGGGATGCGTTAGCCTCTGGCCCCCAGCTCTTCCTCCCAGAGTTCTGCTTACAAGCTGTGTGGGGGGGCAGTGTGGGGGATGCATTCTCGTGCTGGTGCCAATCTACTTTGGCTAGAGCAGATCACCGACTTTAAGATCTCTAACTCAGTTTTTCCTTTACCCTTTTTCTGCTTTGTTTTCCACATTTCCACTGTTCATACCCTCAATTATGCTTCCACGTACCATCAACAATTACACCTCCACATACCATTGAAACAGTCTGTCCTACTTCCTTCAGAACCTACAAATCAAACAATACAATTCTTTACTTTCCACAAACACCAGCACTTGGTTGCATGATTAGAATCCTCAATTATAAAAACTGGTCCCACTACTTCATATATGTTCCTGGTTTCTTATTTGATATTCCCCCTATCTCATCTGCAAAGTCTCTCCTGTGAGCTAAAATACAACACAGGGGTCTTTTTTTATTGTTGTTTTGTTTTTGTTTTTGTTTTGTATCTTTCTAGACACTCCTAGACCTAAGGGGACTTCCCTAAGAGGATATATTGAAATATTAGTAAGGTTAGTGTTAGAGAAAGGAAAATTCTCCAGGTCCCATCTGCATCGTTCCAGTTCCCTCAGTATTTAAGAATGTGCAAACTCTCTCTAGGACCCTGGGAGGATCAGCAGCACAGCTACTCCCTGCCTCTGCAGAGACCACTGCCGCTTGTAGTACTTTAGAACCTCAAGGAGGGGGGAGTTTTTAAGGGATCCCATTTATGACCTTTCTGCTTCTCTCCTTTCTCTTTTGAACTTTGACTCTTTCTTGTGAGGAACTATTTTACTTTTTTTTGCTCCCATTAAACAACATAAGGCAACTCTGTTTCAGAGAAAGGAGCCTTACTGTTTACATACAAATTCAAAGTCTGACAAACCCAATTGCTGTCAGACTCACATTTTGGTCAAAATGTTTTTCTGTGTAGTGGCTCTCTAGGCTATGTCTGTATTTAAACATCTTTTTCCTGTTCTTGTCCCTAGTTTGGGGATTATTTTCCAATTCTGAAGCTTCTTTCCTAAGAGGCTATCTTTAGGCACAATTTTGGGGACCCTTTTTCCCTGCTCTCAGGAGCTCCTATTCCCCATCCCTCCAGAATGCTGCTGTGAAATCCCCAGCTCACAGGTTACCTCACTCTGATTCTCTGATTTGGGGCCAATCCCTCTGGAGCACCTTGCTCAGATTCTCGGATTAATAGAGGTGCACTGCTGGCACTTCAAGTGCACAGGGTACCGCACACCAGCAGCTCCCTCCTGCTACTTTTCCTTCCACCAACAGCCGCTCTGTGTGTCCCTGGCCGTGCCCCTCACGGGACAACAGAGCCACCGGTCGGAACTCAGCACTCGTTTCTCACTGAAAGCGCGTCTCAGTCATACACACTCAAGAGTCTCAACCAACACCCAAGGCAAGAATTAAGTTCCCTTACCTTGGTCCGTCCTTGAAATTACCAGGTCGCAATGGCTGACACCGGTGCCTGCCTGCCCCCTGGCTTTCACACTGCCCGTCCTTTATGTAACAGTCTCAGTTTCTTATTGGCCATCCCAAGGAGTCCCCTCCCCACCCAGACAGGACTGCTAAAATTAGCGGGGTGCACCTATCCTGTCCAGGGCAGCGAAGGAGACCCCCAAGAGGTGATAATGATCCCGGACGAGCCCCCAAATTGTTGGAAATGACCAAACAATTTATCAGGACGGTATCTCTGCTAAAACAGATTTTATTCGCATTGCAATGGTGGGACTCCTGCAAGCAGGAGAGCATGCAGAAAAAAGCGTTCCATCTTCTATGCTCTATTACTCTTATCTCTTTCTCCCCTGGTTCCTCATCAGCTGAGTACTTCAGGTTCACAATCTTCCCACAGCTGAACTAAACATACGGATACTGGCTAAACATCAACTTTTGATAACCAAGCATATATTGCTGATTAGTTAACTTCTCATATTTGCTCATTCAACACTCAGTCACTGTTTCTGGACATCTGCTCGTTCTTGCATAGAGATAAACTTGGAAGAAGGACAGGGGGAACTATACTGATGCCTGCCTGTTGCATCCCAACCTACCCTCAGAGCAAGGCAATCCAGCCTTGTATAAAGGCCCTGGCTTCTTTGATGTTTGTTAAGTCTCTTTTTCTTTTGCTGAGGGTCTCTCATCCAAACAGAATAGCCCTACAGTAAGCTTTCTAGTCCATAATACTTTACCTATACTATTTGGAACATTTAAAAACCACTGCAGTTTTGCAAGCCAGAATTAATCACACTATTCAGCAACTATATTTCTAAAGCATGTTACTAACATAGATGGTATTTCTACTTTTTCACATCACATTCGCATTTCTAAGGACAAGTTACAAAATACGAATACAATACACTGTGCTCTGCTTCCTCAGATCAATTTCCCCTTTTTAATATCTAATGCAGAAACAACATTCAATTCTACATTCCCCCCACACGTCTCCCCGCAGCGCCCTGGGCAGCTCCCCGGGCAGGCTGAGTGCTGAGCCTGGCAGGCAGCGCAGTCCCTGCCCCGGCACACAGCCCCTGGGGCACAGCAGGGACTGTCTCTGCAGGACAGCCCTGAGCACCCGGCTGCAGCCCCGGCTGCACAGCCTGCAGCCATCCTGGGACTTGCAGCCCTTAGGGCAGTGCTCTGACTCAGAAGCCCTCAGCTGGAGCAGGTCCTTCTCAGCAATAAAGAAACGTGGAGTGCCTCCAGCCTGATTTGCTGGTCTAACAGACCTCTCCTGGATACTGTTGTGTATTTTGCCCTGCAGCCAGAGGCTTACTGTGTTAAGTTCTGTGAGCGCTGCTCCTCCAGTGAGCTCTCAACTTTCTCCACCTCTATACAATGTGTCACATTTCTTTCCCTTCTCTCCTCTAGTTGTCACCTACCGCCCATGCCTACAGAGTCCTCTTGCACTGTGCAGAGTTGCTGCTCCTGTACCAGCAGCTACCTGAGCTCTCTGCATCCCAGGAGCTTGGCCCAGCTCAGCAGCAGAGGCCCAGCCCGAGGCCTCTCTTCCTCCATCCCATTGGTCTTCCTGCAGATGTCCCTGGGGCTCTGCAGGAAGACACTTAGGAAAATACTGAAGGAGTCCTTGATGTTTCCTCCTTCAGCTGTGCTGAGATTCTCCTTCCCAGGAGCGTCATTTCTCTCATCAGAGACAGTTTGGCAGGAGGGCCACCTCCCCTTGTCCCAACACAGACAGGACACTTGGGCAGTATAAGACAGGGATCACAGGTGCCAAAGCAGAAGGAAATGACTCAGATTCTGAGTCAGCTGAGGCACCTCATTCTGGGTCTGCAGTGCTGGGGCTGGAACAGGGCTCAGCTCCTCCCATACACACCATGTATGCGCATTCCTCCTGTGTGTGCACAAAATGCCCTGGTTTAAGCCCTCATGGTAAATACTGGAGATGGAGATTAGCAGTGCATTACTGTGATGCAAACACCAGTTGACAGCTCAAGTGAACTGGCAGCTGAAGATGTCCAAAGCATCAGCAGACATCCTTCTTCGCTGAAGCACTGAAGTCACAATAAAACTACTTTTATCTTTGCGTCCACCAGGTGCAAGGACTTTTTCTTGGATTTCATATAAATTGTTGTGAACTACGGTGTACCAAGATATAAAGTCGATCATTATGGCATCACAATCAAAGGAAACTTGCTAAACTAGGGAAAAGCAGTTAAAGGTTGGCCCAAAGTCACAGAGATTAAGCGGAAGGAGAAATAAAGGGGAGGAAGCAAGTGGTTCTACCACCACATTAGATGCAATTGAGCATGCCCAGAGAGACATTAGCACATATTCGTGAATTTTTGGGGAAAAAAAATGAATACGTGTGCCAATGTATTGCATATGTATATGTTTTGCAAGTTGATGGGGTCAACAGGAAGGACAGACGCCAACAAAAGGGATAGGCTTACTTTACTGTCCATTTCAAAGTAATACAAAAATAAAGCTTGCCTATAGACAAAGGATAAGCTCAACAATGAAGAAAATAAGCAAGTTAACACATCTACTCATTACTACATGAGGTTAGAGATAGTGATTAAGAAAGAGACGTCACCAATTGCCCTCATACACATCATCCTGATCTGCAGTTCATGAAGAGCCCCAGTTGCAGCCAGGATCTGGAGAACCTGTCCTGCAACTGAGGAGTCCTACAGAGATGAGCCCTGCCTGTCAGGGAGGTCTCCAAAGTCACTGCAAGCAGATCCAGCCTTTTGGGCCACTCTGTGATTCTGTGATTTATTACAAGCTCTGTGCAACTAAGGGATGCTGGGAAGATGGGGAAGTTGATGATAGTAAAGAGAGAAATTCTAGCAAACATTTTACAGAGTGGGGAGATCACCACCAGGGATACTGTGACATCTCATTGAATTGCAGGGCCACAGTTCTGATGTAATGTGTAATGGAAAGCATCCTTTATTCTCAGAGCCAGATGCACAGGAGACTCCTTCCTCCTGATCGTGCATGCCTGGCACAAAAGAGCTTCAGCTGATCTGCATTCAGACACTGCTTCAGCCCCTGGAGCTGCCCTATGGTAGAGAACAGCTGCAGTCTGCAATGAAAGCCCAGTCCTGGAGGTAAGGGGCTGCCAGGCGCCTCAAAGCAGGTGAGCAATCGAGCCAAACTGCCAGCCGAACCAAAGGCAACATTAAAAGTGCCCCAAGAGCATCTTGTCTGCTGGATCCCCTCGGAGAATAAGGGAGCTGGTGGAGAGGTGTGTATAGAAGAGAATTAAGAGAATTACCAACATGGAAGTCAGTAATCAAAAGGAGGCTGGGGAATTATTACTGCATTCAGAGGTCCACGCATGCAGAGCTATGGAGCAAGGTCACTTCATCTGTGAGGACTGGGGGAGAAATACAGTCCCAGTAAAGGGACATATAATAAAAGAGGAACAGAAAACCTCAGTAAATAAAAGGTAACGAGGATTACTGCAACATGATTAAATCTGTCTCCTGGATGAAAACGAATCCCTTTTGTCACGACCTTCCAAGCTTGTGATTCTCTGCATGAGCAATGGAGGGCACTTACCTTGGGTGCAGAGCTGCTGCACCTCAGCTGCAGGCAGCCTGGCTCTGTGGAGTCGCATAGAGCAGCAGATGCCGGGTGCCCTCAGCCTGGAGCTGGCTGCAGGACGGCTTTGGTGCACTGCTGCCAGCACGGTGCTGCCCGGATGGCTTCCAGCTGGGCTCTTGCTGATTCACAGGGTGCCCCTCCGAGTGCTGCTGTCTGCAGAGCTGTCAGCTCCACCACAGCCTTTTCCTACCCAGAGGGCCTGGGAAGAGCTCGACTCCCAGGCTGCTCCCCTACCAGGGCATTGCTCATCATCACGTCAGATCACCACCCCGGGGGTTCGAGTTTTACCATGCTAACTAAGCACGGGTTTCTCTAAAGCATCTTGGCTTCCTTCTGCTGGGATGTGGCACAACCTTGTGCTCAGCCATTCCTACTTTCTTGTCCTCGCGTTCCTTTACACTCCTCTCCCTCATGAAGATGTCTTCACAAGAGATTGCACTCTCTGCCTGCCCTGCTCTTGAGGGCAGCATCTCCGTGCAGCTGGGTCACTTCTTCACTGAGCCCTGCCGATGGCAGAGTTTACACGTTTTAACTATGGAGCAAATGAGGCTCTTAATGGTGGAACAGCTCACAGCTACTCCTGGCATGAAGAAAGCTGCTGAACCTCTTTCTTCTGAGCTGAAAAGAATTCCTTTTCACTTACACTCTGGCGATAACTGAGCTCTTTCTCATCGTTTTCTGATAACGTTCTTTCCTGATTCATCAATAGGTGCTCTTTTGAAGGCATCAGCATGGTTAAAAATTCCTCGTACCCGGTGGATGCAAAGATTAAAGTCATCTGTTGTGACTTCATTGCTCCTGTGAAGCAGGATCGTTGAGAAAAGCAAGGCTGTTCGCACACCTAGCAAAGCTGAACTGGAACATTTTAGAATTAGCATTCATTGATTCCTTTTGTTAAACTCATATTGGTCCTTAAGCCAGATCCCTATTGCTAAACTAGCCTTTGTCACACTCAAGGTCAGAGATTTTTTATGAAACGTCACTCTCCCTTCACTGTACTTCATCGTTGACTAATTGTGCATAAATGTCTGTACTGTTAACAAGTGATGACGTGAGTAAGGAGGGACTATAAAGCAATGAGTGTTTTTCTCTGGTAAAAGAGGGCTTATGAAAGTCTGCTATAAAGACATGATCAAATTTTTATTGCAACTCTCTTCATTCCACTTGAAAAAATTGCAAGCAGCATTGACTGCAAATATTTGAAAGTATAATTATTATTTATTTATTTATTGTAATCTTGAAACCTATTCTCAAAGTCTTTTATCACAATGAAGAACAAGGCAGATCTTTTATTACTCACAGAACTGCATTTAGCCAATGGATCCAAACGCATGAAGTGATTGGCCATAACTTGAGCTGGCCCTGCACCACGCCCTCCCTGTCCCTGGTTTCAGCTCAGCCCACACCAGCGTTTGGTTGGTGGTGAGGGTGTTGAGGGCCTGGGCTGCTTAGTGGGAAGAGTCACCCCATGGTAGCATGGGGAAGGGAGTGCAGGCTGCACTGTGAGCTGTGCCAGGCCGCAGGTTGGACATGCCTACCATAACCTACACAAACTCCACCCAATGGGGAGCTCACGCTCTTAACACCCTATGGACACCCATGGACACCTGTCAGCCACGTGGAGACCCCACACTGCATGGAGACACCACAAACCCATGGAAACTTCAGAACCCCACAAAGAACCCAACCCCTCAGGCCTCTGTCCCACTCAGCTACAGATCATCTCCCACCCCTGAGGCACTGTCTCTATGGTCTCTAAGGATCTCCTGTACCCAGCACTAGTGAGGCCGCACCTCCAGTACTGTGTCCAGTTTTGGGCCCCTCACTGCAAGAAAGACATTGAGGCCCTGGAACGTGTTCAAAGGAGGGCAACAAAGCTGGTGAGGGGTCTGGAACACAGGAGCAGGCTGAAGAAGCTGGGAATGTTCAGCCTGGAGGAGGCTCAGGGTAGACCTCATTGCTATCTATAACTACCTGAAGGGAGGCTGCAGTGAGCTGGGGGTCGGCCTCTTCTCTCGTGTCATTAGTGATAGGACCAGAGGGAATGGCTTCAAGCTACGGCAGGGGAGATTCAGGCTGGACATGAGGAAGTATTACTTTTCAGAAAGGGCGGTCAGGCACTGGAATGGACTGCCCAGGGAGGTGGGGGAGTCATGGACCCTGGGGGTGTTCAGGGAAAGGCTGGATGTTGTGTTGAGGGACATGGTTTAGTGGGAGCTGTTGGGAATAGGTGAACGGTTGGACTGGATGATCTTTTAGGTCTTTTCCAACCTTAGTGATTCTATGATTTTATGATTCTATGGTAATGGCCTCCTCTGAAGAGGATGGAATTTGGTAGATTGAAGGTCAATCTCCTCAAGTTTGTAGAGATTATTCCTGAGAGATAAATTCCCTGCCCTGGTGTGTTTGGGAATTTGAAGAATCAAATGGCTGAATCAAAAATGGTCAATTTTAATGAAATAAGTCAAATGGTGATTGGAAGAAGGGTCACCTTACACTTCTTGGTCTATGGAAGAAATTCCTGCTGACAGTGCACTCATAGTCCACCAAGGGAAAACAAAAAGTAGAAACAGTGGGTTCAGTCTCAACGTTGTCCTTCAGAGACAAGGAATCAGAAATAATTGATCAGAAATATGGGAAGAATGAGTGAAAAGGGAACAACTTAGCCACAAGTGTACCAAATGTGATAATGTGCTGGTGTTGGCAAGAGAGGGAAACCGCCCTGGAAATGATTTTTACGCTCACTAAGAGCAAATTACATAGAAAACAATGTACACATTTCCACATGTGGGAATGAGGCTATAATGAAACATCCCATCCCAAATCTAGTATCTTCCAGCCCCATAATGGTCACACCCAGTGAAGGTGAAACAAAGTACCCAATAAGAAACTGTAAAAAACCGAGGTCTCCCTGAGTGGTATAGAGCTCATCCAGAAACTCATCTTTCCCACATCCTCCATGGGCCGTGCTCTCTCAGAGCCTCCCCGAGATGGATTTCACTGACCCTGGAGGTCCTGGAGAAGGTGATTATTGGTTTTCTTCAGCACATCAAGGAACAGATCCTTGCAGGCAACATCCCAGCTTGGCATGAAGCTGTAGAGGAGCCGCATCTGCTCCTGCGGTGTGGGCATTCCTCGGATGCTCTGATACTGCTCATTGGTCAGGACGCGCCCATAGAGTTGGTCCAGGACAGGGCTGACTGATGTCACACGTTGGATCAGCTGCTCTCGGTGTTGCTCCACAAAATGCAGCCCTGGTATGGGTGAGTGGTTGGATGCTCGTGCTCAGCAGGCGACATCCCACCTGCACTAGGGCTGAAGGACCCTCAATCTCTGCTTCTGCTGGACCCTGGCATGGCGTATCACCTCTCCTGCCTCAGCTGAGGCTTTGGGCAAGGAGATAGAGTTTGACAATGTCTTGGTAAAGCTCATCCTAGTCCTCCTCATCTCAATCTCTATCTCGGTTTTGAAGATCTTCTGTCTGCTTTGGCATTGTGCCCTCATGGCCTCCCTCCGTGGGGCAGGTTGGTGAGGAAAAAAGGCAGCCCAAAACTCACCTTTTTGTTGGGCCTGGACAGAAGAGGATGGCTGGTGCTCCATGAGTGATGGATCTGCAAGGTTGGGAGGCAGGAAGAAGCAGGTTCATTGGAAATCCATGGGAAGCATTTTGGGGATGTGGCTTGTGACCTCATGCTGTCCCATTGGCCTGGATGTTGGACTGGGATGTACACATTTCCTCATGAATGTGTCAGAAGCCATGCTGAGCAAGAAAACCCTCTCTCCACGTTGGATGGGGAAAGACCTGGACCTCCAGGCCAAAACCACCACCCTAATGGATGAACAAACCTGAAAACAATGATGTGGAAAAGGCAACTGGTGGCTCGATGTCTCCTGGAGGAGAACAAGAAGAATGGAGGACATGAATTGAAGACAGGAGGTTGGGACACACACTGTGAGAGATGTTTGCACCCCTTCCTTCTTTTCCAAACTTGTATGCATCCTCAAGACCTCACCTGGGGCTGCATCCTGCCTCCCTACCTGCTCTCAGGAAGGTGGCCCAGAGCGGGCTGTGCTCCATTTTGCTCTCCTGTGACACCTTTGTCAAGGTGAGCTGCATTCCCTCCTGCAGGTCCTTGCTGTAGATCTCGGTGTAGAGCTGGCGGCTGCCTGAAGTCAGGTAGATGAATTTCAGCTCCTGGCAGAGGCAAGTTGGTGCATTAAGGTGAGCTCATAGTGATCATGATCCCTCATAGTGATCATGAGGGGCAAGGTCCAACATACTTGGGGGTTTATCTCTGCCTCAGAGGGACTGGACACACGGTACCGTGTGTTAAACTTCAGTGGCTGGGAGGTGTGAGGAGGTTTGTCCACCAGGAAGGAATGGCCCCGTCTCTTCTCGTCCTTCTCCACTGCCTGCAAAATGATTGTGTGGTGAGTGTGGAGACAAATGGTGATGGGAGAGACAAGAAGAGGGCAAGGAGACCAAGTGAGGAAGAAGAGCTACAAAGAGATCAGGAGAGCAGGGTCCCAGTAGTGCCTCGTGGGAGTCTGTTTGCCAGAGGTGCTTCACAATCCCAATCTCTTCCAGGAGGCACCCATTTTTTGACTGCCTACATGTGACCACAAAACTGAATCAGAAACCAAAGCTGTGCTTGCCTTCTCCAGGCCATGATTGTTGGGGATGAGGTAGAGATGAAGGGTGATGTCTGCAGCCCTGATGACACGGTAGAGCAGCACAAGGCAGTGCACAGGTATGAAGGGGAACGAGGCTGAAAGCAAGATGACACCCATAGGTGAGAAGCTGGGGTCTCTCAGCACTGCATGGAATGGCGTCACTGCTTCAGGATTCTCCAGGCACAAGTTCCCATCCACAAGGTGGCCAATATGCATCCCAGACACGCTTAACTTCCTCTCTGTGAATGGACATAATGTTCACAGATTGACTCATCTGACTGGGGATCGGGTGCGTTGTCCCCCAGGGCTGTTTCAGTCACCGAGCCTTCATCCTTGCTGCAGTACCTGAGAGACACAGGAAGTGTGGGAGGTGAATGGCCTCAACAGCACGTGGTTCAGCACGGATGTCAAACACGGGTCCAGCCTCCATCCATTCAGAGGGGATTCCTGCAGGCAGGTGACTTTCCCAGAAGGAGTACTCATACTCAATTGTGGTGGCCATCCTCACTAAGAACTTGAGCTTTGTCTCAGTGCACCGGAAGAAGCCAGCCCGAGGAAAATGAGCTCTGCAGAGTGGTAGAAGGAGAGAAGAAAGAAAGGATCTTGCAGGCTGGACACTGGGCTACTGGGCTGTGGGATCACCCTGTCTTTTTTTTTTTTTTGGTGGCTATTTGCTCAGGAGAGGGCACCTCCTGCTGTCAGGTGCTCACCTGTATATCTCTTTCTTGCCATCTTTGCCCCCAGTAATCTCTGGTTTCACTTCTTCTGCCCCGTCCTCCTGAGCAAGAAGCACAGAATCACAAACAGGTTTAAGCTCAGTATCAAGGCTGGTTTGGTTTAATGGATTCCTCATTCCTGGAGGATTTTAAGAGACATGTGGATGTGATGACTGGGGACATGGTTCAGTGGCAGGCTCATAGTAGTAGTTGGTGACTGGACCGGAACATGTGTCTCTTTTCCAACCAAAGTGATTCTACAAATTCTGTGATGCTATTATTCTACCGTTTTCCAGTTTGATGATGCTCTGTCTGATGCAGACTGTGTTCAGACAGGTCTGCATTTGTGCTTTGAACTGATGATCTTAGAGGCCTTTTCCAAACTACACCATCCCATGATCGTATGATCTGGTCCAAACCTTCCTGCAGGGCTACCCAGAGTGTGTTTCTCAGACCCAAGTCCAACAGCATTTTGAAGAACCTTGGGGAAGGAGACTCTGGAACCTCTCAGGGCAACACAATGCTCTCAGGCTTTCTTCATGGGAGAAGTGCACCAGGATCTGAATCCCTGGTGAGCAATCACCAGAGACAGATAAGTGCAAGGCTGTCTTAGAAAACCACTCTGAAATAAGCAGGAGAGCACAGCACCTTACCTCTTGACTTGAGCATGCCATGCATTTGGGACTTGAGCCTCTGCCACTGCTGCTCTCCACATCAAAAGGCTTGTCTTCTGGACGTGCAGGAGTTGTGAATGGAAACAGCTTTCCCACCTGCTCTCTCAGTTTTGAGACTGTGCCGTAGAATGAAGCTGTAAGGCGAGGAGTGAGCATTTATCTCCCTCTGTCCCCAAGGGCTGCAATGGCCTCTTCTTGACCCCCCTAAGTTGCCATTTCCCTCATTATACTGGCATCATTAGTGCATAAGAAAGGTCAAAAGGCAAGAACTATCCAGATCCTTGTATATCTTAAGTGCCAGGAGAGCCTGGCATTTGAATTGATCTTGGTTGACCTATGTGATCACTGGCTGATTGTAGGCCTCACACACTGCTTAGCTTACACACTGCTGTCTTATCATGATAAGGTAAGTCATGATAATGTATCTGTCAGAAATATTTCTCACTTTCTTAACCTGAAAAGCTCTGTTGGAGCTAGGTCCCTGACCTGCATGCAGAGGGAAAAAACAAAGAGCCCAAGCCAGTCCTGCTTTTGGAAGGCTGTGTCCAGAGGGATGGAAGGTGTTGTACGGAAGGTGATGTAGTTCAGCAAAGGAAGTGACGGTGCTGAGCAGCTCAGAGCTCACCTTGTGTATTAGATATCCAGGCATCTGCAGGAGAGAGGAGATGGCAGTGAGGCAGAGAAATATAAGTGAGGTGATTGCTTTGAGACCCTGGGGAAGGCTGCTTGGGGCAGAGCAAAATGGCTCCTAACTAAAGAAATGCAGTAAAGCAAAAGGAGAATGCACTTGTGGCCTACGAGAGGGCGTCCTGCTGCACTGAGTACATAGCTGAAGGAAGGTAACCAAAAGCCAAGGACTATCTGGAAACTTGTCCATTTTAACCAGCGTGACTTCACAGAATGGCTCAGGAGGGGACCCTGGGGAGATGATGCAGTTTAACAAAGGGATGATTGTGTTTAACAGTTCAGAACTCACCCAGATTTACTATCCAGCCTTCAAATGCCGAGGAGTAGTGGGTCAATCCATCTCCTAAAGATAGGGAACAGTGGTGAGTTGGATAAATCTAGGGTTAAAGAATTACCTCTGCAGAAATGTGGTCCAAGAATAAGACTTCCTCATGTGCTCTCTACATCCTCCACTACTCGCATCTGCAGCTGCTGAGTAATAGCTCCCACACAAATGCCTCCTGTCCCTCCCAAGTACAAAGGTGTGTAGATGTCCCTGTGATCCTCCTTTCTTTCTGAAGGCTTTTCTCAACTGTGAAGATAATTGAATTTCATTCTTACCTGCGTATTGCAAGAAGAGGGAGAGATTATTTCTCCTCAGCACGTTGTACAGACAATATTTGGCTGTGGCATCCCACACTGGCACAAGTTCATAGAGCTTCTGCATTCTCTTCTGGTTGGTACTCTCCGCCATGATGCTATCATGCTGCTTGGAGCTCAGCACACCTTCCTGGAGGAGTTCCTCGATAGTCCCTCCCACATTATTGGCTCGCTGGATTATAAACTCTTTGTTCTGCTCAACAAACCTTGCGCCTTGCAGAGAAGAGGAGAATGAGTTCAGTCACTCAGTGCTGCCATGACCTCACCTCCCCCAGCTCACCTGTTTGCAGCGTGTCCAGGAGACGTTTGGCCTGGTGCACCTGTCCCATGGCTCTCAGCACATCCACTGTCACCTCTACGCAGTAGGACCTCCCGTAGTGGCTGTACAGCAGGGTGGCAAGTGCAGCTGGTGACAGCCCTGCCACACTCTCCAGGTCAATGCGTTCATACCCCTCCCTGGGCTGGAACTTGCTGAGTTCCCTTTTGAATTTCCAGAAGTCATGCTTCTCCAGGAACTTCAGGGTGTCCCACAGTAGACTTGTCACTGTGTTCTCTGTACTGCCTCCTGATGCCATCGTGCATCGCAGCTCTGGTGCGGAGAGGTGCTTGAGGGACTTTGGGGATGCGATTCTTAACAGCAAGAGGTTTTCAGGACAGCCAAGACCCCTCTCACTTGATTCTGTGGGGACACCAACATTCTTCTGGGGATTCCTTCAGCATGAGGACTGGTTACAGTGCTGTGGTAATAATTAGAACTTTATTACTACATTAAAATTTAGGAGGAGGAATTGCATAAACATTTTAGCAAGATGAATCAGCTGTTAAACTTTTCACTGGCAGTCATTCCTGAGCCATCTGGTGGAAAGTGAAAACACATAGCTGAATGATATCTATGTCATGCCATGAGCCACTGCTTATCTGACTTTGGGATCTTTGGCAAATTCAGGACAGACCTCAGGATTCTGGTTACAAGCCTGTCAGAAATGCACATACACAGAAATACACAGAGATAAACATTTTAGTAAGCAGCACAATTTTCCATTACGTTCAATCTTGAGGCTGCACAGAGCAATTAGCATATCTTTCTCATTACCTTGAATCCTTAGTAGCTCCAACTTTTCACTTACCTGGATGACCTTTGGTAGGCCTGCTGCTCAACAGTGTGAAATTATAACTATACTCAGATTTTACCTACAGAAGTCGCTCTTTTGGTCTTCAGAGGAAGAAAATGAAGGTGTAGACATCCCTGGTCACCAAGGGCCCACAGGCTTTGCAGCAGCTCAGGTCTGAGCCCCTCTTAGGGTGTGCTGCTGCAGGATCTTGTGGGCTACTTCTCAGTTTTAGTTTCACTTCCTGATCGAGCACTGGTTGTCCCCACCCCTAGTGAGATAACACCTGGACTTTGATATTACTGAGGGGCGGAACCCCACTGCCAGCTGGAGGCTGGCCTGAAATGAATGTCCCCAGAGTCGGGTTATGCAGTGGATGAGAAGAAAGTGGGATAACAGGTGAGAGACTGCTTCTTTATGCAGCTGTGTGCCTTGGCATGGAATCAGGGAATGAAAGAATCCGAGAGGCAGAGAATCATCACTAGTATGCCCTCACAGCACAGAAAGCCAACAGTACCCTGGCCAGCAGGTGACCCTCTACTCTGTGCTGTGAGACCTCATCGGGAGTACTGCATCCAAATGTGGAGCCATCAGTGCAGGAGAGACTCAGAGATGTTGGAACACATCCAGAGGAGGGCCACAAAAATGATCCAAGGGATGGAACATCTCTTCTATGGGGACAGGCTGAAAGAGCTGGGACTGTGCAGCCTGGAGAAGAGGAGGTTACAAGGTGAGCTGATAGCAGCCTTTAGTACATAAAGGGGAGCTACAGGACAGAAGGGATCAGACTCTTTAGCAGAGTCTGTGGTGATAGGATAAGGGGAAATGGTCTCAAACTTACAGACAGGAGATTTAGGTTGATACAAGGAAAAAGTATTTTACAGTGAGGGTGGTGAGGCACTGGAACAGATTGCCCAGAGGTGTGGAGGATGCCCCATCACTGGAGACATTCAAAGTCAGGCTGGACCAGGCGCTGGCCAACCTGATTAAGCTGTGGATGCCCCTGTTCATTGCAGGGTTGTTGGACTAGATGGCCTTTAAAGTTCCCTTCCAACTACAAGAATTCTATGATTTAACTGAACACAAATGGCAAAAGCCTCAGTGGCACACAGGGCAAGTAAGGGCAATAATCCCTGATCCTAATTCCGTGTGTAGTAAGCGTTATAAACAAGAGGATATTTCTACAGTGAAGTACAAGAGGGAGAAGTACGGAATGGTGTGACTTATCTGCCATGTAGGAAATTCACAGTGAATTACCTGAAATGTTTGAAGACAGTTGGGGTTGAAGGGCAAATTATCAAGTGTGGACTTAGGGCTAAGAAGGAGGAAATTAAAGGCTGACAGTGCTTCCAGGAAGAGTCTATCCTGAAAAAACCTTTATAGTCACCAGCTACAGAAAACAACAACAACAAACCCTGGTGGAAAACTGCACTAGTGCAAAGCATGCAGGTTGGCATAGCGCTGTCTGACAGTTCCTGGCAGTGAGGCCATGTGCAGCAGGCCAGGTGAGTTCTGTGGGGATGGAGTTGTTCCCACACCAATGCAACCCCATATTTAACAAAAGCCACCTGGCACCTGAAAGCACAGCATCCCCTTTCAGCGCATGTCACCATTAACAGCAGCCAATGGAAGATGAGTGAAGCTGGAGTCAAGTGTCAGTAAAACCCAGAGAAAGGACCGAGGAAACCGCAAGTAAAGTGAGGGTAAACATTGAATAAATTGTGAGTAAAACCCAGAGTAAAGATGAGTAAAATCAGTAGTGTGGTTGTACACCTGGAGCAGAATAAGAATAAACCCAAGTAAAATGGAGTAAACCCAGTGTAAAGTGTGTGTAAACCTGGTGTAAAGTGTGAGTAAATCCAGAAGGAAAGTAAGGGTAAACCTGGAGTAATGTGTGAGATAACCCAAAGAAAATAGTGAGTAAATTCAGAGTTAAGTGATAGTAAACCTGGAGTAATCTGTGTGTAAACCCAGAGTAAAATGTGAATGCACCCTAAGAAGAGTAAAAGTAAACCCCTTGAAAAGTGTGTAGACTCCCTCTGTCTGAGTTGCCACCGTCTTCCTGCAGTAATCCCGCTGTCTTGCAGAGACCATGATGAAACCTGTGGTCTAAGACTGCCATGAGGAAAGCTGGTCTCCTGAGCCAAGAGGGACAACCCTTACACACCCTGCCACTTGGCCGCCTTCTCACACCCACAGCTGCAGCACCGTAGAGGCAGCGTGGTCTGTGCTCACACACAGACTTATCCTCCCTCTCTTCAGCAGGCAGCAACAACCCACTGTGCCGTGCGGCCAGAGGCAAGCCTCCCCCAGGCTATTGAAAGGTTATCACCATGAGTCAAGTGTCGAGGTCAATAGTGGGCAGTGCCAGCCCCACCCTTCACACTCAACAACCTGCCTACAAGCTGCCAGCCTACCAGCACAAGTGCAGCATTGTTGCTGGCTGAAAAAACAGCCTACCCTGAAAGTGATCTACTTCAGGGTTTACTCACAGTTTACTCCAGGTTTACTCACACTTTAGACCAGGTTTTACTCACACTTTACTCCAAATTTTACATGCACTTTACATCTTACACAATGAGCTCAGATGGGGAACCTCAGCCATCCAGGAATCCTAGAGGTGATCATTGACTGGCCTGGAGGTAAAAAGTTTGGTACATTACCAGGAGAAGAAGTATCGCGTGCTAAAGAGTCCCCACCATACAATGGACTACCAGAAAATGAAAGGAAACATGTCCTGTTCACAGATGGACTGTGTCGTATTGTGGGAAAGCATTGCAGATGGAAATCTGCTGTGTGGAGCCCCACACAACAAGTAGCAGAGGCCACTGAAGGGAAAGGAGAATCAAGGCAATGTGCAGAGGTAAAGGCTGTCCAACTGGCCTTAGATGTTGCTGAACGGGAGAGGTGGCCAATGCTCTATCTCTACACTGACTCATGGACAGTGGCAAATGCCCTATGGGGGTGGTTACAGCAGTGGGAAGAAAATAACGGGCAAAGAAGGGGTAAACCTATTTGGGCTGCTGAACTGTGGAAAGACATTGCTGCCAAATAAAGGATATGGCTGTAAAGGCGCATCATGTGGATGCTCATGTGCCCAAGAGTCGGGCTACTGAAGAACAGCAAAATAACCATCAGGTAGACCGAGCTGCCAGGATTGAGGTGGCTCAAATAGACCTGGACTGGCAGAACAAGGGTGAATTATTTCAGGCTTGATGGGCCCATGAGACCTCACACCATCAAGGAAGAGATGCAACATACAAATGGGTTGGAGACCAAGGGGTGGAATTAACCATGGACACTACTGCACAGGTTATTCATAACTGTGACACATGTGCCACAAGTAAACAAGCCAAGAGGATGAAACCTCTCTGGGGGGAAGGGCGATGGCCGAAGCGTAAATATGGGGAGGCATGGCAGGTTGATTATATCACCTTGCCACGATCTCGCAGTGGTAAGCGTTATGTGCTCACCATGGTGGAGGCAACCACTGGGTGGCTTGAAACATATGCAGTACCCCATGCTACTGTCCAAAACACCATCTTGGGTCTGGTGAACCAAGTCCTGTGGCAAAATAGCACCCCAGAAAGGATTGAGTCAGATAATGGAACTCATTTCAAAATTCTCTTGTAAACACTTGGGCCAAAGATCATGGCACTGAGTGGATTTATCATATTCTCTACCATGCACTAGCCTCTGGTAAAATACAAGGGGTTGTTCAAAACTATGCTGAAAGCAATGGGTGGCGGAACATTTAAGCACTGGGAGAAGCATTTGGTAGAAGTCACCTGGTTGGTCAATACCAGAGGATCTATCAATCGTGATGGTCCTACCCAACCCAGCTGCCTACATACAGAAGAGGGTGATAAAGTCCCTGTTGTACATGTATACAGCAAGTTGGGAAAAGCAGTTTGGGTCTTTCTAGCTTCTGGAAGGGACAAATCTCTCCATGGTACTGTTTTTGCTCAGGGACCTGGGTCCACTTGAGGGTGATGCAGAAAAATGGGGATGTTCAATGTGTACCACAAGGAAACTTGATGCTGGTGGAGTGCAGTCAGTAATTCTATGTATATATATGTATATAGACGTGTGTATAATGCATTTTAATCATTGTTTGTTTGTTTATATGTATATATCTTAAGCATGATGTAGTAATGTAGAGAAAGGGGTGGGATGTCATGGTTTTGTGTTTTTTTGGTTTTCAGTATTCCATATCAGAACATCATGTAGTGCACTGGGAATTCAAGTGTTAATGTTCCAATTCCAGGTACCCATCCCTATACTTTACAGCAGTCATGGCATCTGGCCCTTCAAGGTGGGGGACGGTCTCTTACTGCCTTGCAGTGGATGCTGGAGGTGCTTTCCCAGCCATTCCAAGGTTTTCAGGTTTGTCTCAGTCTCAGGAACACTCTCTCACTCATCTTGTCTGATTTATTAGTCTTAACTTCAGTTAGATTGTATTATATTGTGTAATCTTGCATTCTGATATCACAGTTAATAAAATAAGTTTTCCTGCATAGCTTGTTGCCACTGTTTTTGTTTTTGTTTTGTCTTGTTTGTTTGTTTGTTTTTTCCTTCCTTGATCCCAGCTCCCATCTCCCTATCCCTTTTCCCTTTTCCCTTTTCCTTCCCATTTTGTGGGGCTGGGGGGGCGGGGCAGGGGCCTATTGTCTCCTGTCACAAGCATAGATTGATCTAGTTAACTCCGTGACAGCAAGGAAAGAATGAAGAGATTTTTGCCTCAACCCGGGAATTGTTGAATTGTGTTTTCTCCCCTGTCCTGTTGAGGAGGGGCAGAGACAGAGCAGCATAGGGGGCACCTGAGAGCCAGGCAAGGTGAGCACAGCACAGCTGGGCGCTGAGTTCCAGGCTGATTATGAGGTCCCCAGCATGTCCCGTACAGCTCTCAGCCAGTCCTGTTCTGAGCTCTGCTGAGCTCTGGGCCAGGAGATGGACTGGGCCTGGCTGCCTTTTCGCCAGTGAAGGCACTGAGCTCAGGGGAAATGTGGAGTGGTCCCATTTCAGCCCTCAGCCCTCAGCAGATTACAGTGAAAAGTGCTGCTGGGAACCACTGGCATGAGAGCTGGGTCTGGTGGTAGCTTCCTTGGGCAGTGTCTCCTTTTTGTTCACACAACAGGAAGCTTTTCTGGATCTGTGCCCTGAGACACCCTGCTTCATGGCCCCACAGCCACGGGGTGGAGTCCAGGGCCTCAGGATCACCTCTGCCAGCTCCCTCCTCTTGTGGGCTCTCAGAGGCTGCTGTCCTTGCATGGTCTGAGCAGAGGACTTATCCTGTGAATGATCACAACCACATCCTGGTGCTCTATCTATCCCCCAGCATGCTCTTCTTCTACCAGGGTTGACTTTGGGTAATGACCAGCATGAGGGTTGGGAGAGGACTTTTGCCTGGGACGGGGACTGAGCAACAGCAGCAAGGTCATAGGGGTCCTGGTTGTACTTGATTCTTCAGGGAAATTTCATGAGCACGTCAGCTCCCATCAGACTCCATCCCTCCTCTGATCTGTTTGGCAGTTGATGGGTGTCTCTGTGCTGGTCGTGATGATCAGAGTGGGAAGTAGACCCAGGTGGACAGGGATGAGTGCTGATAAATCTTCTCCCTGGGAGTCTGTGGGTGTGCAAAATGCTTGGAATAACAATGGAGCATTCCCAAAGGCACTATGTGCGCAGGTATGCCTGAGGAATCTTTCTCCAGCCTCCTGTCCGGCATCTGCTGCATCCCCACTGCCTCCATGGTACCTGCTGACATCTCATTAGCCTGCAGATACAAAAGGATAACACAGAGGCTGTGGGAGAGTCAGCACTGACCCAGAGTTCATATGGGCTCCAGGAGAAAGAGAGCAGGGTGGTGCCTCAGTAGAAGTACTAGGAAGCCAAACACTTGCTAACCACCAATGATAATCACACACACACATATATATATGAAAAGCAAAGAAAAATGTATCTATTAATATAAAGATTATAAACATTAAAAATCATAATACAGGTCTGCTACAGGACAGAATTTGAGTCATTTGTAGAGACAGATGAGAAGTTTATCCCTGCTGAAATGTGTCCATAACATCATTTCCCTCACTGCATCCTTGAGCTCCTTGTTCCTCATGCTGTAGATGAGGGGGTTCAGTGTTGGAGGCACCACCGAGTACATAAATGAAATCACCAGGTTCAGGGATGGGGAGGAGATGAAGGGTGGTTTCAGGTAGGCCAGAAAGTCAGTGCTGACAAAGAGGGAGACCACGGCCAGATGAGGGAGGCACGTGGAGAAGGCTTTGTGCCGTCCCTGCACAGAGGGCATCCTCAGCATGGCCCTGAAGATCTGCACATAGGACAGCACAATGAATACAAAGCACCCAAATACAGCAAGAACACTAACCACAAGAAATATAGTTTCCCTGAGGTAGTCTGATTCTGAGCAGGAGAGCTTGAGGATCTGGGGGATTTCACAGAAGAATTGGTTCACAACTTTACCTTGACACAGTGGCTGAGAAAACGTACTGATAGTGTGCAACAGAGCATAGAGAAGCCCAGTGCCCCAGGCAGCTGCTGCCATGGTGG